TTTTATTTAGAAATTGCTCTTATATTTGAGATTTAATCTACCACCTGACCCTATTTTTTTTTCACATACTGGGAATTGAACCATGGGCTGTCTGCCACTAAGCTAATCCTCAGCCCTTTTGTGTGTTTTTAATTTTGAGACAGGGTCTAGATATGTTGCACACATTGGTCTCAAAGTTGCAATCCCCCAGCTCCAGCCTTCAGGGTAGCTGGAATGTCAGGCATGTGCCGCTGCAGCTGGATGACTCTATTTAATGAGTCTCTTTTTTAAAAAAAAAGATTCTCTCCTTTATTGCTTTAATATGGATGCAGTGTTTTAATTACTTCGTTTCCCCTTTATTAACATGCAAGTTCTTTATACTTTTATTATCCTTTAGCTGTTATCCTTGAGATAACAATATACATCATTGACTTATTAGCACCTACTAGGAACTTGTATTTTTATCAGTTCCCAGGAAATGCTGGGGCCTTAGCACACTCTCTTCCTTCCCTTGCACCCTGCATGACCAGTAGATGCAGAAGAAGTGATACTCTGGGAATTCCAACATCAGGCTTCAGGACTGGTAGCTTTTCTCCCTTGTTCTTTTTTTTTTTAATATTTATTTTTTAGTTTTCGGTGTACACAACATCTTTATTTTTTTATGTGGTGCTGAGGATCAAACCCAGCGCCTCGTGCATGCCAGGCAAGCGCTACCGCTACATCCCCAGCCACTCTCCCTTGTTCTTAAAACACTTGCTCCGGGGACATTCAATCTAGATATCCAGATATCCAGCTGCAGAACATCCAACCTATATGAAGAGGCCATGAGAGAGGCAGAAAGTCAAGGCCCCTGGTTCACAGCTCCCGCTGAACTTCTCGTCATCAGCCAGGGCCAAGCACAAGACATGCAAATCAGAAGTGGCTACTTTTTAGCCATTACCCCAGACAGTGCCACCCCAGGGAACATCAAGGGGAGCACTGTCCACCTGAGCCCTATAAACCCACACATTCAAGAGAGATAATAAAATAGTGTTTGTGTTTCATGCGGTGATGGCAATTTCAGAGCCTGTTAGTTCCTAGTACCTTGTTCTCTGTAGGAATAGTCTCTAGATTTGAGTGTTCCTGATGGCATTATAATCCTTAGTTGTTTTAAATAAATGTTTATTTTGATAGGCTAAATTCTCAACTGATATTGGCTAAGTTAAGTACAAATGAAACTTAGAGCCTCAAAAATGTTTGGAAATGTGTCCAATAAATTTAGGTTGTGGTACAATGAAAGTCACAATTTTAGCCATTTTTAGCTTTCAGTGCCTCTTACATCAATGTCACATTAGTGATACATTCCTATGTTTCCCATCAAATTCAATTGTAAATCTTGGTCCCTCACATACATGGAAGGTTATGAACTGAGTTAGAACAAGCCTGACCTGAAGCAGGAATGAGACCATTGGCACAAATCAGGAGAATGTAGCAGCCACCTGGTTAAGAGGCATGCTAGTAAAAGTTAACAACCGGTTCTCTGGGGAGCAGGGGCCAAACCCTGGCACGTAGCACTTGCTGATTCCTATGGTATTAATGCTCCCTATTTCAAGCCACCAATGTGACAGCACTGAACATAGAGTCAGGAAGAACTGTGTGAAATGGGCTTTGCCCACTCCAACATACCACTAGCGTGGTTTAGCAAGGGTAGACCAGATTGCAGAAAGCTGCAAACAGACTTCTTGTGAAGATGTTCTCCAAAGGAAGGATGGAGGATAGAATTTAGATGAGGCCTAACTTACAATGATCGGACTTAGGATTTTTTAACTTTGTGATCATGAGAAAGTGATACACGTTTAGTGAAACCGTACTTTGAATTTTGGTCCTTTGGTGTTCTCCTGGGCTGGCCATGTGTAACACTGAGCTGCAACTTCCTGTCGGCCACGTGATCAGGAGGGTAAGCAACTGATTCCCCTCAGTGTGCCAGGTTGCTAAGCTGTGATGTTCTGAAGGTTAGGTGGATTAAATGCATTTTCAGCTTATGATATTTTCAATGTAAGGTGGGTTTATCGGAACATAACACCATTGTTAGAGCATCTGTAATAACTAGAGTGGGATCCAGAACTGACCAAAGCTGTTAGTAGCAAATACCTGAAATAATCAGCTTATAAAGAGACAACCTTGGTTTTAGAGATTTCAGTTCATGATTGATTGGTCCCCATCAATCAATGTTGGGTGGCACATGACAAAACCATTTACCTTATCACCAAGAGCAAAAAAAAAAAAAACAAGGAGAAAGAGACTAGGGTTCCACCATCCTCTAGGAACACTCTCCCCAGTGACCCAAGACCTCCCACTCGGCCCCTCCTTTTCAAAGGGGCATTGAAGATCTGAACTGTAGCATTGTGTACAAGGTAGGAAATAGTTAAAATACGAATACATTGGTGAGAAAGAACCAACTGGAAAGGAAATTTTAAAGTCAGGAAAGAGAGGAGAGGTATTGAAGGAAGGACCCTGGAGAAAAGAGAGCAGAAAAAACCCAGAAGGAAGGTGGAGGGGTCAGCCTCAAACAGAAGAGGCACCTTTTCTTCAAAGCAAAAGGGAGGACCATGGAGGCTCTTCTAGAAGCCCATGGACAAATATGGAAATGGAAATTTGAGAGAGCCTATGCAGGGTATCCCAATGCAGGCTTTCGATGATATGAATTAGGTAATGGATGACATAAAGCATTGCAGGGTGACTCTGAGACCCCAACGGAGTGGTGGCTTGAGAATTGCTGGGGCCTCACTCCACATGGTTGTGGGAGATTCTCAGCAGCCCAGGAAAGAAACAGAGTTCTAGGCTTTTTCCCCGAGCTGGATGTGCTCAGTTGGCAGATGTACAAAGTCAGACAGTGGCAGCCTTCCAACGCCAGGAAGCCTCTGAAAAGCTGACTGGTCATTGAGAGAGAGCCACTGCTTTAGAATTGAGTGCAGCTGTGGCTTGTGGTGTGTGGGGATTGGAGTGGAAGAGGACATTCACAGAGGTAATAAGGGCACATCCCCAGCATGGCAGACAGAAATGAAGTCTGAAACAACGAGATAACAAGGATCCAGTAAAATGGGAGAATCCAAAATACTTCCTTTCTTGGAAGGAAAGAGCATCCAGTCCATAGGAGCTTGCAAGATATGGCCTTTAAATGTTTAAGAATTTTGAGGCAGGTGCAGTGGCATAGGCTTGTAATCCTAGTGGCTTGGGAGGCTGAGACAGAAGGATCATTAGTTCAAAGCCAGCCTCTGCAAAAGCAAGGTGCTAATAAGCAACTTAGTGAGACCCTGACTCTAAATAACACACAAAATAGGGCTGGGGATGTGGCTCAGTGGCTGAGTTCCCCTGAGTTCATCCCAAAATTCCTTCTCAAAAAAGAATTTTGAAAGCCAGTTAACATCAACTTGTAGGTTGAACTTGGCCATAGAAGACCAAGATTGTTTGAAATCCTCAAACAACATAATTCATGGCTCATTTTTCTCCTGTGGAGAGCAGGTTATAAAACATATCCCAGAAAGATCACTGTATTGTTGTCAAAGTCACCCCAGAAAAGGAGGAAGTGTGAACTTGTCAGGAGAAAGGTTCACAGATGAGCCTGGCAAGAGAAGCCTCTGCCTACCACGCGTCTGTCACAGCTGAGACAAACCTGGAACACAGCCAGATTTGACAAGAGTGGCCATGGGACGTGAGAGAGTAAGTCTGTGCTTGGCACATGTGAACCCTCATGATGTCCAACCACCCAAAGTAAGACTAAGAATGAGCAGGAAGCAATTCAACATGGTGGTGGATACCACCTCCAGGGGAAGCTCCAAAGAGACCCCTGGGAAGGAAGAACTGAGGAGCACTCATGGAATAGTTTCTACCTGGTTGTCCCAGCCTTGGCCACTACAATACTTGGCCTATTTCTGCAGCACAAATTAAAGAAATCAACCTTTTGCTGCAGCATTAATATTGACCATGAATCTACCCGGGTCTGACATCTTGGCTCTGAGTTGCCTGTCTTGGGTCAGCATTTTGGCTGCTGTGACGAAAAGACCCTACAAGAACAATTATAGAGGAGGAAGAGTTTATCCGGGGCTCATGGTGTCGGAGGTCTTAATCCATAGACAGCAGGCTCCACCTCAGCTGAAGCAAAGCATCATGGGAGAAAAGAGTGGTAGAAGGACGTGGCTCACAAGAGGATCAGGCAGCAGAGGGAAAGAGAGAGTCCACTTGCCAGATACAAAATATATACCTCCAAAGGCATGTCCCCAGTGACCTCCTCCAGCCATGCCCTACTCACCTTCAGTCCTCACCCAGTTAATCCCATCAGGGGATTAATCCACTGATTGGGTTAAGGCTTTCATGACCCCATCATTTCTCCTCTAAACCTTCTTGTATTATCTCACACATAAGGTTTTGGGGGACACCTGATATCTAAACCATAATAGACCCTGACTCAAATTCTTCCTCCGATCCCATAGTTGGCATTTCCCTAGATGTTTCCCCATTTTCTTGTTAGTTTTATTATTCACCTCTGATAATAACCCTCTTCTCTGCCCTTGGAGGAAGATACTTTCTTCTTAATCCTGGGCTGGCATCCTCATCCAAGCTCATCAAGAAAGACAGGGCTGTCCTTTAATAAAGCTTCTACTTTCTACTCTAAAAAAAAAGAAAGAAAGAAAGACAGGAAGATGAGGCATCCAGTCATTTTTACCATGAATTTGGGGTCTTAAGATCCAATTTCCCCGTCTTGGTAACATTTTCAAATTTTCAAAAGATGATCATGCTCAGCTTCTGAGGGCACTGGGTTACACTGGAAGATGGACAGATGAAGACTATGTGAGCAATGAAGTTATTGTCTCAAAAATTGAATTTCTGGTAGAGCACCCAAAATGAGTAACCAAATGGCATGACCCAACATGTGGAGGGGAAGGAGGCAGCAGTGAAATTCATGTAAGGGCTGGCTGCCCCAGCTCCAGGAAGCAAGTGTATCAGTTACCTGCTGCTGTGAAACAACCATTCCCAAAATTTAGTTGCTTAAAACAACATTAATTTATTTTTATTTTTCATGGTCTGAGGATTGACCATGACATTGTTCTATTTCATGCCATGTTAGGTGGCGGGGCTGGGATGGTGAGAAGATCCAAAATGGGTCAATCTCATATTTGACAGTGAGCGCTGGCTGATGGCTGCTTGAGCTTCCTCACAGCATGGTATCCTGGCTCCAAGAGAGTCGTGACACAGGCCAGGGAAACCATGGATCTCTTAATGCCCAGCCTTAGAAATTATACAGTATTACTTGTGCCACATTCTGTCAGTCAGAACAGGTCCCAGGATCAATCTAGATTCAAAGGGAGGGGGAATATGCTCTACTACTTGGTAGGAGAACAGCAAGTTTTCTTTGTAGAAGACCTGTGGAATGAGGAACTATTGCTCTACCCATCTTCAGAAACACCATCTACCACACCGAACATGCTGTCTGGATGAGAGGCTGTCCCTCTGTGGGGTGGAACTAGTGTTATGTACTTGAGGCCAGGGACCTGGCTAAGGAACACAAGAACTATAGTTTAAACTCCATCCAATCCTCCATCATTGCCTATCCTAAATCCTGCCCTTGGGACACTCATGAAGCTCAGAGTCCTCCAGTCCCCACTGCAAGAGACTTTGGGGCATTTAGGAGTTTGGAAGATTAGGTTTTGGTCCTGGGAGACCAGCCATCTACAAAGTCCACCTGCCCCCTATCTGTAGATGCTGGGAAGAGGAACTCTGCTTGGAATCTCAACACTTGAGAATTCTTCCCATTAGGTAACATAACTCAGCTAATTCCTTGGTGGTGGGCATCTTGATTGTTTCCAATATGACTTCATCCAAAGAAGATCAGTAGAATTTCTGAAGTGAGGTTTGGAGCTAACATCGGCTATCATTTAGGATCCCAACAGGTAACAGCACAAATAAAACATGATCAAGCATGGGAGGCTTAGTAAGAGAGACTATTTTAAAAAGATATAAGTGAGGAAAATCACACACAAAAAAGGTAGTCACTAACAAGGGGCTAGTTACAATTGAGCTGTTTTCACCCCTAAACTGAATTGGGGCAAAAAGAGGGAGCAGCTCTCAGAACCTAAAAGAACACAGTCATACAGAGTCTACAACCTGGAGAGAAGTGACCTTTGATGGAGGAGCTCAGTCAACTGATGGTGACATCACAAGGGAAAGAATCTGGGGAGAAAAAAATATCCTAACTTCACTCCTCTCCCTCTGACCCATCTTGTGCTGGTCTCCCCATTGGCCAAATGACACAGTGGTGTTCACAGTGGTGTTGGCCTCCTTGCATAGAGAACAATGTAGAAAAAGGTGGAGAGTGGATCTAGAGAAGCCAAGGGGAGACACCCAGCACACGTAACATACAAGACGCAAATGTAAGCTTGGAATTAGGAATTTTCATTAGATAAATGCACGCAGGGTTTTCACAGTCAGGGTATCAGTTATCTATTGCAGCACAACAAATCACCCCAGCTCAACAAATCACCCCAGCAACAACAAATCACCCCAGAACTTAGTGGATTAAAGCCATGATGATGGTCGGCTCATGATTCTGCGGGCTGGCAACATGTGAGGCTGAGATGACCCATCTTCTATTCTACATGCAGTTGGCTGAGCTCACCTTGCATTCAAAGTCAGGAGGTAAATCAACTGGGTTTGACTGGGCTTAGTTGGGGCTCATGGGTCTGCTGGTGGGGACTGGCTGCTGGCTGGATCTCTCTCTCTCTCTCTCTACATGGCCCTCTCTTCCTCCAGTAGGTGAAACCTGGCTTTTTACATGGAAGCAGAAATATACCAAGAGAGCAAAAGTGGCATTTCTTCTTAAGACCTTTTCTTGGATTTGTTATAGGTTCATGGGGGTAGAAGGGTTCTTATTATTACAGTAATACTGCTATAATTATTTGTCCCCAATTCCTCAGCTGGGTCTACTCTAAGAGAACCCCCCACAAGCTCCAGTGCCCTCCACAGGGCCTGAACTTCTGCCCTACCTGAAGGCTGACATGTGTCAACTGCTCCAAGAATTGAAAGATGACATTTATTCTAGGTATCTGAGAAATTAAATTAATTGAAGATAATTTTTTTGCAGTTTTAATTTTTTTCTTTCACAAAATGTGGTACATCCCAGTGGAATACACAAAAGTAGCAGTTCTGGAACTCTCTGAGTTCATGGTTTCTTTACCTTCTTATTTTTGATGACATCAAAGAGTTATCAATATTTTTTCACATTAGGATTTAAACTGAAAATCAATTAAATATTTTACTATTATATCACTTAAAATGAGTATAATGAACTCCTATGTAGCATATGTTTCAAATTTTCCCGGCAAATAACTATAAATAGAAAGCACTAGTGAGAAAAATGTCATTAGTTTTTGCATTTTTAAAAATCTCTTTAACAGGACGCAGTTGTCTCATATTTCCTTGTGTAAAATTCAGTTTGTTGCAATATGTTTTGGTTGAAGTTGCAAAGAAATATAGCTTTTCATATATAAAAACATAGCTTCATAAATATGTAATTGGAAAAGGAAAGGGAATTTCAACATTCTTAAATTATGTATACTCTTCTTTAGTCCTCACTCAAATGTGTCAAGAGAAAAGTTCTTAAAGGTTAGTCTCAAGAAGTAAGCTGAGATCAAATCAATATGCTTTTGGAACTCTGTTTTACTAATACTTAGGGTCTGTCTGGCATATTTTAAAAGTGAATCTGTCACTAGAGGAGGTTTGAGGACTTCCCAGAGAGGGGGCCCTCACCTCAGGATGAGTGGGGTTCTTGAGAAATACTACAGAAATGAATTTCACATGTGTTAATTACAGACACAGAAACTTATTCAGGAAAGCAGAGACGCATTCAAGGGAGAATATGGGCCATCAAGAGAGTGGCCAACATGCTTCTGGGGCCCCAGGCTCCTTTTTTAAAGGAAACTTGATCAGGTGTGGACTTGGGAAGGTATGTGGGGATGACATCAGTCTGGTGATCACAAGACCATCTTGGTGGCCTGGTTGTCTGCAGGATCCTTAGGCTAATGTGGTCTCCATTATCTGATCAGCCCACACTATTGGAAATTACCCTAGATTATGTGTTTCTTAAAATATTGTATTTCTCTTTGCTTAATCTATTTATTAAGTGCTATTAATTAATAGCACACAAGGTAATTTTCACAAGTGTGTTAACTTAATGGTAACGCTAAGATCTATATCTCAGAAATTTGGAAGTGACAGGCCAGGGAAGAAAGGTCTACAGAGCTTCAGATTAAAATTTCCTAGTCCTTCTTTTTATCACCTATGGATTTTTTAATTTCTTCCCTCTTATCTCAGATCTTTTATGTACATGATTTTGTAACATAAAGCACTGATCATTTTAAAATATTGGTTTTACTAGTTTTTGTAGCTAAAGGAAAAAAAAAACTAACACTCATTACTTCTGATGCCCAATGTGTCCCCCCACTCCCCTGCGCGCACACACACACCAAGTAATTCTGTAGTTCTCTGTGGACACTTACTGAGGTGTCCTACAATTCAATTCAGTTCAATTCAAATGTTATGCACATGGAGTTAGTGTCAGTTCAGCCCACATGACTGCTCCACTTCAAAGACAATTGTGAGTCCAGACCTCCTGTACTTCCGACACACCAGCTATAAATTGGGAGTTCTAATGTGCCCTTCTTCAGGGTCTGGAATCTGCTAGGATGGCTCACAGAACTCAGAGAAGCATTTGATTTCCATTTACTCATTGGTTATAAAGAAAGCCAACCTCGGAAGAGCCAGGTGCAAGAGATACATAGGACAGGAAAAGGAGGGAGCAGGACTTCTTATGCTCTCTCCAAGTATGCCACCCTTCAGCACCTCCACCTGCTCACCAACCCAGAAACTCTCTAAATCTTATTCTTTTTTTTTTTCTAATCGAGTCTTAATTACCTAGACATGATTTATTAAATCACTGACCACTCGTGGTTAACTCAACTTCTAATCCTAAAAACATGGTTGGTTCCCCTGGCATTCAGCTCTGATCCTCCCAGGATTTCTAAAAGTCACCTGGTTCACATAAAGCCAGGGGTGGTTGAAAAGGGATTGTTAGGAATAACAAAAAAAGATATTTCTTTCACCTTAATTTCTTCAGAGCTCTTTTCAGACCTGGAGACAGAAACTTATAACAAAAGATAATCCTATCATTCGGAGATCGCTCAGGAAATTACAAGTGTTCTTAGGAGCTCTGGCCAGGACCAAAGACCAAAATATATATTTCTTGTTATATCTCAAGATCACAGCAGCTTTTCGAAATGTTGACACATTTCATAAAATATCAGAAAATCACATTCATTACTATCACCACCCATCTCATCTGCAAAGTTTTCAAGTAATGGGAAACTGTCAAGCTCACAGGGGCAAACATAAATCTTCTCAAATTCTAATCTTCTCTTGAAAGCTCAAATGTTATCACTGGCACCAAATACACAGTTATTTCCCTTGAAGTGATAGTTTCACTTTGTTCAATTTTGAGAAATGTCTCCAAAGTACCCGAGTCTGAATTATCATAGTTTATCACAGTCAGCCAGTCATTCTTTTCTAGAATTGTGTTCTACAAGGAAAGGGACCAGTTTCATCCTTGGCTCAGATAACTGTACCAGGGCTTTTCCTGAAGACAACCATTGTGTTTTGTGTATACTTCCCATCTCAGCATTCAGCATAAGAAGAAGACATGAACCTGAGTATCTGGGTTTAATAAAATAAATGAATTTTACTGCTTATTGAAGCAGATTATTAAATGAAACCCTGCAAGTGCATGTCGGGAGAAATACAGTGACTCTTATTTTGCTGCCATTGTCCCATTTTATGCTAAGACACCAGCAGTATTACCCGGCATTGCTTTGCACTAATAGCAAAAATGTCCACACAATGAAAAGTGAAAATAACATAAAATAGTCAGAATGATTACGAAAATACTTTTGACCGCACAGACCCTGTGAAGGACCCTTGGGGACCCCTAGAGATCTTCAGACCACATTCTGAGGACCAATACTTTACGTCAGTGAGAATGAATGATCACATGCAGCTCCAACGGATGAATTTAAAAATCAAAATGCTGAGTGAAAGATGGTGGGCAAAAGGATTGCATATTGTATGAGTCCAGTGGTGGGTTTCAGGACACACTGCCCCAATACATGACAACTTGAAATTTGAGAAACACTAGAAGCAGAGATATCACTCTTGCCTATCCCCTATTCTCTCGTAAAGCAGGTCAAAGAACTTTCTATGAGGGGTGCCACCCTTATACTGGAGGAAAGGTGTCGAAGACATAGAGGCACTAGGAAAATTCTGAGCAAATAGGCCTTGATGTATTTCCCCAGTTTATTAACATTAGATCACATACTTTTGTGTCCTCCGATCACATTTATCCACAACTGTTCCCTCCCCATCAAACTTAAGCATAAAAATGCACCAGTTTACCCGTTTCTTTGGGTCATTTCTGAAGGCTCAATGTCATGTAAAACTAACTAAATTCCTAGGGTTTTTTGTTTCTGACCAATCTGTCCTATTATAGGGACCTTAGCCATGGAACTAGTGACCTCTCTATGGTTTAACTAACCAAAGAAATGAAAAACTGTGATCTATTTGTATACTATGAATTAAAATGCATTCTGCTGTCTTATAGAACAAATTAATTAATTAATTAACTAATTTTAAAAATAAAAACACAAAACAAAATAACTAAGGTATATATGGGGCAAACATCTCCAACTCAGGATCTCTCAGGGTCTTCACTTCCCAAATGGGAGCTCCATCTGTGCTCTGGTTCCATGGAAAAGACAACACCATCTGTCTAGTTCCCCAAGTTAGAACATTCATCCCCTCTGCTAACCACTCAAAGCCCTCAGAGTCCCACTTAGGAAATGGCTGGTGACACCAAAGCAGCACAGTCCTCATAGTGACCTTGCACTGAATTAGTCTCCCACAACCCCCCTACCTTCTTGCTTGTGGTTCTCAAGAATAAATACAGAATGTTCTAGAATGAAACATCCGATCAAAATTGCCTGAACTCTCTTCCAGTTCTTCCAAGAACAGAATGTCATGTCCACAACCAGATTTCAGCCCTATGAC